TTGATCTGGAGAAATTATTTTCTGTTCTGAAGAGTGAAGTGTCGACGTGCACTGGCTGAGCCGTAATAATAATTCGAAGAGATTTAGGACATTCTAAGTCCCCAGTCTACTAGAAACTTGACGGCACGTGTGGTGTTATCTCAATGCTGCAAAGCATTCAAAACACCAATTTAGAGTTTAACACCCAATGGCGGGATAAGCATGACCTGGATGTATCATTGATGCCTTTCTCTTCCTTTGGATTACACGATAGCGGCCTCTCGCTACAAATCGCGTTAAATTTCGTGTGTTATCCTTTTCGCTTGGTTCACTGGTATGCTGACACCCACCCGCAGGCAAGATTAAGGGTCCGTAATGCTCTCAAACAAATGCAAATTCTGTGCAGCACAGTTCGTCGCATCAGTTTCGCTTCCTCCGCCTACTAACTCACAGTGGAAAAAAAATTAATCGGCAGTTTGTGTTGGTTTGTTTGGCTTCGCAACATAAAAATGGTCTATAGCATGACTGTGCCTGTCTTAATAAATTCTAGCGGTTACATAGAACGGAATCATCCTTTCCAATGACCAGACATTAAAAAATCTTTATACAGTTTGGTAAGTGGGCATTGCTCCTCCCCATTCCTTCCCTGCAGCCACTGAAGCCAATTTCATCATTGAAGCGCGTATCAACTCCTATAGATCTAAGATCACTCTTGGGCATCGATCATATCTACAGCATCATCCGATATTCTTGTACTTCAGCATCCCGTCGATCGACATCTGCATCGAAGCCAGCCTAAAAGATCAACACGAAACTAACAGCTACTATAGTGGCATATCTGTGCGCCAATAATCCTCTTTGAGGTGGCTTTCAAAAGGACCGTTATCGCAGTCATAGTTACCGATGCAAATACACCGAAGCACTCACCCAGCCTGCTCCTAACTGCCCACCGGCTTCTCCCCCTTCTCGGGCAACAGCACCGTCTATATGTTCGGTGACTCACCACCCTGCGCGATTGTGATACCGGTAAGTAGCCTGTTTAACTCATCGCCGTTGCGAGTGGCCAGTTTCAGGTGGCGCCTTGCGTTACCTGCCATCTCTAACAGCTCATCAGTCAGGATCTCGAACATAGCAGCCATGTGGACTGGCACTCCAGCACCCGCAAACTCTAAGTAGTCACCACGATAAAGCAAGCGATGGACACGACTCATCGGAAACTGTAGGTCAGACCGCACCAGTCCTGTCTTTTCTTTAGCCTGTGACTTGTCGCTCTTGACTCCATTCGTCCTCCAACTGGCGACAGAACCACACGACTAG